GGGACTTATTCCTTTCTTACTTTTGTATATCTTCTTTCACTGTTTCTCTGTTTGTCTGTCTGGCATCTGCCAGGCTCTGGCCCTGGTGTCTCCTCATTCTCCTCCTCCTTCCCAGCCTAGATTTCTCCTCCTATCTATTATTCTCTTTCCCCTCCAGCCCTGCCTATCCTTTCACTGCTTAGCTGGGCTGTTCAGCTCTTCATTAGAGCAGTCAGGTGCCTTAGGCAGGCAAGGTGAAACAGATGCAGCACATCTTTACATCATTGAACACACACTCTTACATTGTTAAACAAATGCAGCATCACTGCCTCGTTAAAATAATACTCCACAGCATATGTAGCCCTGGCTGGCCTAGGACTCACAGAGATCTGTCTGCCTCTTAGATTATGATGCTTACCACTGAGTTTGTTGGTGATTTTATTACATATTAAGGGAATAGTTCTAATTCTAGACTCTTGATTGATGTATTTATCAATCCTCTTGGCAACAGCACATTCTCTGTTAGTGACTTTATAATACATGTTGATTTCTGTTTGTATGTCTTTCAGCTTTATTTTCAAGATTTTTTTAAGTCTTCTTTGAAGTTCTTTGATGATTTTTCAACTGAAAATCAATGTTGGAGCTATGGAGATGGCTCAGTGGGAAAGTGCTAGTTATTCAAGCATGAGGATCTGAGTTCAGATGTACAACACCCCAGAAAAGCCAGGCATAGAAGCGTTTGTCCGTAACCTCAGTGTTGGGAAAGCAGAAATAACAGGATCCTGTCAGAAGGATCCTGCTGCAGCCAGTCCAGCCTAATGGCCAGCTCCAAGTTCAGTGAGCCCAATCACTGAGGTAAAGTAAAGGAAGGTACCCTGTAGGCAGAAGTTTCTCTCCCGTCTGCCACTTCCCAAATACCCAGCAGCCGCTTCCCAAATAATTGACTCTGAGGCTTAATATAATTTATAAATGCTTAACCAATATCTTAGACTTATTACTGACCAGCTCTTACACTTAAATAACCATCATTCTCATCTGTGTCTAACCATGTGACTCGGGACCTTTTCTCAGTGCAGCGTTCTCATCTTGCTTCCTCTGCATCTGGCTGGCGACTGACTCCTTTGCTCCGCCCTCCTCCTTCCCAGCATTCTCAGTTTGGCTTTCCCGCCTAACTGCCCGCCCAGCTACCAGCCAATCAGTGTTTTATTAAGCCAGTTCAAGTGGCAAATGTTTACAATGTGTAAGAGCATTATCCCACAGCAGTACGCAGTGTCAGCTCCTGACCTCTACACACACACACACACACACGCACACACACGCACACACACACACACACACACGCACACACTCACGGGGTTAGACACGTGTGCATGCACCATATACAGACAAATATACAAATAGAGCCAAGCTTAGGTTTCTCACACCTGCAATCTCATCACTTAGGAGGTTGAGGCAAGAAGATCTGAAGTTCAGAGTTGGCCTGGCAATGGGGTAAGACCCTGGCTGAAACAACAAAAAAGAAAAGAATAGAAAACCACAGCGCAGTTTTTCCAGAATTGAAAATTGAGTCATTCATGAGTATGATATCTTTGTCTTAGTTACACAGATATTTTCAAATTTATCTGAGGAGTGTTTTGTAGAATAGAGATTTTATAATTGTTTTTGTTACATTTAGTCCAAGATACTGGGTAACCTTGATACCCAGTCTATTATAAATGATACTACTTTTTAAATATTTCTTGTTTTTATTAATATGTAGAAACATGGCTGGCTTCTTTATGTTGATTATATAATTAGTATTGCTAAGTTCATTAAAAGTACCTTAGATTATTTTGTAAAAAGTCTGTGTATTCAACCATGTGATTTGTGTATAAAATTCAGGGGGTTTTTTTTTGTTTTTTTTTTTTTTTAATGTTTTCCCTGTTCTCTAAACATGTATTTCCTTTGTTTGTGTGATGACTGACATAACCTCCAGGTCAGTGTTAAGAAATGACAGAGGCTGGACAGATAGCTCAGCAATTAAGATCATTGGCCGCTTTTCTAGAGGACCTGGGTTCATTTCTCAGCGCCCACAGGCTCACAACCATCTGTAACTACAGTTCCAGGGGAACTGACACCTTCTGACCTCTGCAGGCACCAGGCACACACATGGTACCCAGACATACATGCTGGCAAAGTACCCATACACATAAAATAATTAAATTTTAAAAAGAAAAGAAAAGACAATGCATATCACTGCCACAGTCTCAATCTAGGAAAATAGCATCTTGCCAGGACTTCGGTAGATTCCCGTTATCAGGTTAAGATAGCAAATTTTTATTCCGGACTTACAGAGTTTATTCTGTAAGTTTTTAAAATGCACAAATGTTTTATTTGCAGAGAGTTTCTCTTTTATTCTTTTGACATGATAAATTATATTGATACTGTAATTTATCAATGAATTCATCTATATAGACTTGAAATTTTTTGTTGGAAAGATTTTAGTTCTTATATTTTTGGTTGTGAGCCTAGCCTTTAACGGCTGAGCCATCTCTCCAGCCCAAGATTTTAATTCTTAATTCAGTTAACCTGGTAAATAAGACTGTCCGTGTTTTCTGTCGTTCATTATCTCTGTAGAAAAGAGAACTAGATCACATTGGATTGAGGAGGTGGTTGTCCAAGACTGAGGGAGAGGGGGGTTTCTAGAAAAGAGCAGATGTCAAAGGTAGCAGCAAACAGCTGATTTGCTGGATAGTAAAAAACCTTTTGGCAAGAACACTGAAGAAAAAAAAAAAACGTTTATGGAAGTTGTCTGTGAACCTTAGGAATCGAAAAGGCACAACCAATATTTTTAACTTGATGGTCCACACCTTTTAATCCCAGCACTTGGGATGCAGAGGCAGGCCTGGTCAACAGAGCGAGTTCTAGAACAGCCAGAGCTACACAGAGAAGCTCTGTCCTGAAAAACAAAGCAAAACAAGATGGGAACCTAAGTACAGTATGCCTGTTACTAATGACAAAGCCCATCGTCATCCCTGACGTAGTTCCAGCACCACCGTGATGACTCCTTCCTAGCTTCTCCCTGTCAGCTTACATCCTCCTGTTATACCCACGATCTCGCTCCAGTTTCTTCTCCTTTTCACTTTAAGTTCTGCTGCTTTTTGTCCACACCTGTAGGTCTTGGGTCATTGGTGTTGATATTTCATGATAGGAAATTGGATTTCTTTGTTCCATCATTTCTCTGTGAGATCTTGTTATGTAAGTTTTCAAGTATAAAAATAGCAATGTTTTTTCTGATCTTTCTTTGGGTTAATTGATTGAAAGGAACACAAATGTTTAGTGCTAACTGATAGACTGACATGTGAGGTTAAAGGTTCAAATGTTCACTGCATAAAGGTGCAGTTTAAATCTAGCAGGGAAAAGATACATTTTTTATTTTGACATTTAATAGAATTTTTATTGTTCAGTTTTGTGGTTATTAGTTTGGATTTTTGTTCCATACAAACAGGATAATACAGCAACAAAACCTGACAGTCAAAAATCAATAAACATACATATATACATACATATACATATATATATAACCCAGGAAGGACTTTGGACTTCAAAGTTGAGAACCATTGGTAGGAAGTACTTTGATGAAAATATAAAAGCCTCTCTCGGGAACTGGTGAGGAAGTGATTACTGTTAGGCTCCGCACACCCATGATACCAGTAGACACACTGGACCTCTGGGTTATATCGCCAGGAGACATCACACACTCTAACTTTTTGTATGGTATAGAGACATAGATGCTGCTTCCTTTTTAGTAGAGTATGCATTTTCTCCTTATACCATACAGTTCAGTTATTTCCCATTGTCTCTCATTCAGATCCCTTCATTTCTTTATTTGAAGTCACCTTCACAACCACTGTAGTTGCTTGAACTGATAACCTCTGTACACATTGTATACTCCCCATGATTCTTTACCTGTAGAAAATGCTTAGTAGTACAGTAAAAGGAAAAGCCAATGGTTGGTAATAAAAATGTTAGACATTGCAGCTAGTTTTGAAATGCTTTATTGCTTTCTATGTATTTTGGCAATGATTCAGATCATTCAAGGATGGTGTCTTTGTAAACAATAGCTAAAATGTTCCTTGCCTGGGACTTTGTGGTCAGGAGTTGCAGTATAACTCTGTGTTACAGTTTTTCTTGAATGACCAAGTGCGTATGATACTATTATAAAAATGAAACAACAAATGACTTTTACTTTTTACTTTTTTTTTTTTTCTTTTTTTTTGAAGCTGAGGACTGAACCCAGGGCCTTGCGCTTGCTAGGCAAACACTCTACCACTGAGCTAAATCCCCAACCCCTACATTTTGTGCTTTACCAGATGTCCACTCTTTGTGGGTATAATTAAAAATAGGTACAGATTGGATAGACATTTATAAACCTGGTATAAGGCTTTGCTATTTTTACACTTCTGGCCTCCATTCACAATAATTTTGTGAATCTGTATGTTTTTTCTTTTTTTTTTTATGTCTATAATTGGCTTCTTAACAAAATTAAAGAGGCTGGAGAGATAAGTCAGTAGTTAAGAGCACTGGCAGCTCAAAGCCTGTAACTCCAGGCCCAGAGGATCTGACACCCTCTTCTGACCTCTGGACAATAGGCATGTACATGGTGCAGAAACATCCATACAGACTAAATACCCATACACATAAAATTAATAATAATATTTTTACTAGTGACATTTTATCCCTTTCTATGACAGTTTTTAACCTATCCTGGACTTAATTTTGCAAATCAGCTTATATAAAACTCTTTTGTAGTTGTACTTTCTCAAAAGAGTACAAATGAAATAAATTAGTTTCATTGATCTGAATGTTAAAGCCAGTTTTGACCTGAAACTTGAGCTTATACATTGTTCTTAGCTGACATCTTCTCTACTAAATTCTATTACACAAAGTAGCAAAAAGGATTCTACTTTAACTTTAAAGTTCACATCCAGGTACTAAGTGGCATCTTTCATTTTTGATATGTTTCTCAATTTGTTTTGAAGCTTCTTCTCAACCTGTTGATAACCATGTTAGCCAATCTTCCTACTTGGGCCAGACACCAGCATCACCCGCAAGATACTCACCCATTTCTAAACCAGTGCTTGGAGATGATGAGATTACTAGGTAAGGCACTTAATATTCATCTTCTTACATAAAGCCAACTGTTAAGTAACATTTTGATTAGCCATGAAAGAGAGCCATACCTTTTAGGGCTAATAAGTAATTTCTGCTCCTTTCTAAAATACTGCTTTTTACTGTCTTAAGGTGAGGTAAGTTTCATTAAACGTAGCTTAAATAGTTGGGTATACTAGTACACCCCTGGTGTTATAGCCATGACAAGGCTGAAGCAGGAAGATTGTGAGTTCAGGTTCGAGGCTAGGTTACATAGTAAGTTTCAGCTCATCTGGGTTACAGATCAAGACTGTTCTGTTTTGTTTTTAAAGGAAGAGATTAGCTTAGATAAAGCTAAACTAAGACAACACTGATCCATTAAGCTAACTTTGTGGGATTTTTTTTCTAATACATGTCATAGAATATTATAGTAAGCAGTTGTATTCAGAAATCAGCAAGTTGTACTTTTATTGCTTGATATATATTGTTGAAACTCGGACACCAAAAATTTGCTTTCATTTAACAGCAGTAACTGCACTAAAGTTTATGTCTAAGAAATTCCCTGGAATTGTAATGAGATAGAAATATTTTAGCTCCTTTTCATATTATTCAAGGTATAGCTTGCTTTGTAAATTTTACAAGTATTTTATTTTATATTAACTGTATTAACTGTAGCACTTAGCATTATATATGTACTCAGTAATGTCTGTTATGTTTTTATTACTTTCATCATTATAAGCATTGTTGGCTTTGAACTTTGGTGTTTGTTTGAATTGTGGCTTTTCTCAGTAGACTGCAGACACTAGACTTAGTTCCTAAACTCTTTACAGCTCCTTTCTTTGGAGAAATTTTACATGATTGCCAGATATATGGCTATATAAAATAGATACATAAATCAAGCATTTATTGATAAAATAATTTATTTTAAAGCAAGAGTAAATCTTATAAAAAATTAAAGACCAAATTTTCATATTAATCAGATGGATGTACTCATTTATTATATCATAAAGAATCAAATCTTGGTGCTAGCAAGATGGCTTAGCAGGTACTGGTAGCTGCCAGCACACCCGACCACCTAAGTGCACTTCCTGGAGCCAACCTGGCAGAAGGAGAGAGCCACTTCCTCCAAGTTGTCCTCTAACCTCCATAAGTAAAATTAATTTTTAAAACTTAATTAAAAGTAAAAACTAAATCTTGGCTAAATGTTTGATAATGCAGGCTGTAGAGTATTTTCAACATTGGTCAGCATTGTTTGCTGAGAACAGCGTGTTACATAAAAGTGCAGTGCATAGCAGAAGTGTGGCTAGGGACAGTTCAGGAACTGGATCTTCTATCCTGATCCCAAGAATTCCCAGAATTCATTTAATGGTTGGTTGGTCAGTTTTTATGAAACTCAAGTTATCAGTTCAAACACCAAGTTCTGTTTGGTTGGTTGGTTGGTTGGTTGGTTTTGGTTTTGGTTTTTTTGAGACAGGGTATCTCTGTGTAGTTTTGGTGCCTGTCCTGGATCTCGCTCTGTAGACCAGGCTGGCCTCGAACTCGCAGAGATCCGCCTGGTGCTGGGATTAAAGGTGTGCGCCACCACCACCTGGCCTCAAACATGAAAGTTTTTAAATCAAATCGTCTACTATACAATCCAAAGATATACTACTTTGGTATTTACATGCTAAAGAAAAATGATTGGAAAATATTTAAAAAGTCTTTGTTTCTGTAATTAAAGCATTGTGGTTCCTGTAAGAGCAGAACTCTGTAAGAGGTTTGTATTTCAAATGCACAGCAGTCTTAAATCTTAGATGAGGTTGTCAAGCAGCATTTGTTAGTGGGGCAGCATGCACAGTGCAGCATGCACACCTGAGACGTTCAGAAGCAAGGGTGCAGTGTTATCCCATGACGCAGCACAGGAGATAGCGACCAGAAACACCTGAGAGTCTTTACACATTTAACTTTGAATTCATTTCTGCTTATTGTACATTCAAAAACCTTTTACTTTTGCCAAATTTTTCATCATCCCCACATTCATTGTGCCTTCAATGTAGGATTGGCACCTACAGATTAAGAAACTGGTGTAGGGGTTGGGGGTTTAGCTCAGTGGTAGAGCACTTACCTAGCAAGTGCAAGGCCCTGGGTTCGGTCCTCAGCTCCGGTGAAAAAAAGAAAAAAAAAGAAAAGAAACTGGTGTAGTAGAATATTTTCAGGTGTGTTACTGTTGTTCATGTTGCATTTGTTTAACTCTGTGAAACTGTGTTACTGTGCCTATCTAAAACACCTGATGATCTAATAAAGAACTGCCCAATAGCAAGGCAGGAGAAAGGGTAGGCGGGGCTGGCAGGCAGAGAGTATAAATGGAAGGAGAAATCTGGGAAGAAGGATTAGAGATCTAGCAGCCAGAGAAGGGGAGGACTCCAGGAGCCAGCCACCCAGCTCCACACACAGCCAGCCACAGAGTAAGAGTATGATTCAGAAGTAAGAGAAGGGTCAAAGCCCAGAGTCAAAAGGTAGGCGAGATAATTTAAGGAAAACTGGCTAGAAACTAAGCCAAGCTAAAGCCAGGAATTTGTAATTAAGAATAAGCCTCCGTGTGTGAATTTTTTTGGGATCTGGGTGGTGGGCCCCCCAAGAGAGCAAAAACCCCCAACAACAAACTGGGCTCAGAGCTGGAGAGTTGGCTTAATGCTTAAAAGGATTTGCTTCTCTTGAAAAAGGATCAAGGCTCAGTCCCCAGTACCCACATGTTGGCTCACAGCCACCTGTCCCTTTAGTTCCAGGAGATCTGATGTCCTCTTCTGGTCTCTGTAAGCACCAAGCACACAGGTGGTGTACTTGCATACATTTAGGCAAGCATTCATACATATAAAATGAAAATAAAGTCTTTAAAAAGAAAAGAAGCAGTGATGTCTCTAGTATAGAAGCGTTGATCTTGTTTCTGAGTTAGCAATGTTGGAAACAAAATAAATGCCTGTTAGTTGGATTAATAATGAAAATCAGTAGAAAGAATAGAATTCTTGTTTTTTGAGTGAATAGTCAATGCTTATTGTTTGTAAGCATTACTTCTTGACTGATCTCTATTTTTGTTATTTGCTAATAGTGCCTATTATATCTTTAATATCTTCACATATTTTGCCAATTAAAGGGTGAGTTTTATTTCCATTTTCCTCCCTGTCCCCATCCAGCCTCTCTGCATGTCCCATATCTAGAGTATCTGTTGGATGGTTATCACAACAGGCGTACATATTTGCATACTCATGTGAAAATCAGATGGTTACTGACTAGGACTTCTTAAAATGGTATGCATTGTATTGGTCCCATTTGATAATTAGGCTCCTTACCCAAATCATAAAGTACAAAAATCAGTGCCCAAACACTGCGAGTCCTCCACAGTTTGAGCCAAAGCCTCTTGAGAAGTGGTCTCTCATTCTCAGCTTCCCTTCAGAAATAACCACAGCATATACTTAATTGCTATAAAGTTCAGTCCTTAATAGTTCTTTATTCAGGCTCGACTGTGGGGGCACACACCTTTAATCCCAGCACTTGGGAGGCAAAAGCAGGCAGATCTCTGTGAGTATGAGGCCAGTCTGGTCTACAGAGTGAGTTCTAGGACAGCCAGATCTACATGGTGAGACCCTGCCTTGAAAAACAAACAAACAAATATTTTTTAATTAGTTTTATTCAGATACTCACCATAATTTACTCTTGTTAAGTTTACAGAGGGCACTGGGAAATGGCTTAGTCGGAAGACCTAAGTTTGATACTTACGTACTCTAAACCCACATTTTAAAAGGCCAAGTTGTGACGCTTGCAATGGCAGCACTAGGGAAGCAGAAGCAGGCAGGTCCCTAAGCCCACCAGCTTCACCCATACGGCGAGTTCCAGACCAGTGAGGAATACCTCAGTACCTGAGGAATAACTTTGGAGATTTTCCTCTGACAGCACACATCAATACCCACATACGCACACTCAGTCATTTGTAGTGCATGTCATTCATTTTTAGTGTGATAAAATATATGTATATAATAAAATTAAAATGGTAGTCATTGCCACAGTGTATATTTTAGGTGCATTATATTCAGTGTTACCACAAGCCATTTCCAAAACTGTTTTCATCATCACAGATGAATCCACACTACTCCTAGCTCTTGATAACTTGAGTCTTCTTTCAGTCTTACAAATTTGATTCATCTAAATAATTCATGTAAGTGGAACCAAGCAATATGTCTTCTTTTGTGACTGACATTTCACAGCATTGTTTTCAAGGTTCACGTATGGGTTAGTATATATTAATCTTCATTCATCTTTTTGACTAATAGTCGTGTGTGTGTGTGTGTGTGTGTGTGTGTGTGTGTGTGTGTGTGTGTGTGCGCGCGCGTGCGCCTCTTCACACTTTGAAACCACAGTTTATTAGTCCCTATGTGTCACTTACATTGTTTCCAGCTTCCGTGGTAACCACTGACATTCATGTGTCTGTTCAAGTGCTTGCTGTGAGCCAGTTATTTAGGAAATAGACAGGAGTGGAGTTCCAAGACCTTATGTAACTTGTTTGTGTGTTGGCTTCATGAGTGACCATCAAAGTACTTTACAGTCACTGCCAGTTGCTTAGGAGAGCCCCGGAGTGTCTTGTAGTTGAATTGTTCTAACGACATCTTCTGTTGGGCTCCTTTTCATTTATTACGTTTACATTTAGAATGTATTTTCCTACGGAAGTAACTTGAAAATAATAATTCTGAATTTACAATTCATGCATATGTTGCCCTGCGCCCTGAAATCCGCTACCTAACATGGTGAAACGCTTGTGCTCCTCGTCCTACCCCATCTCTCCTTCAGTGTCCCCAGATTACTGCCTTCCTGAATTTTATTAGCCACGTTTTCTTTCATATAGATGTATATATATACTTGTATTTCCTAAACATTTTGTTTAATTTCCCATTTTTGATAAGAAAAATAACTTTATAAACTCCATAAAAGAGTTAGCAAAATTGGATAATGCTGGCTACCTATATATATGTAGAATGTACTCTTTCAAGTTTTGAGTAGGCCAGCACCTAAGAATATTGATACAATATTATGTTAAATAATTCTTAAAATTCATCTTAACATAAGATTTAGCTCTCACGGCTATTATAACCAATTGTTTTCTTTTACGTTTTAAAAAAATATTAAAAATTTTAAATGCTTTTCAGATATACTATATTCTTTTTAAGAGTAATGTCTGTCAGTGGAAATCTATATTTCATCAAATTTAAAAGGATCTACTGCTGGCACTTTCATGATCTTACCATAAGATAGATGTGAATGATTTTCACATAACTGTGCCAACAGTTGTGAAAATTATCAATGGGGAGATACAATCCAGAGAGTTTTTATGTGTAGAAGAAGGTAAATGCATCCATCTTAAAATTCATTTTGCAAAGTAATAAACAAGGCTGGGCATGATGCTACAGGCCTTTAATCACAAGCACTTGGGAGGCAAAGGCAAGCAGATCTCTGAATTTACGGCCATAAGAACTACATAGTGAGACCTTCTCTTTAAAAAAAAAAGTAGTAATGCCGGGCGGTGGTGGCGCACGCCTTTAATCCCAGCACTCGGGAGGCAGAGCCAGGTGGATCTCTGTGAGTTCGAGGCCAGCCTGGTCTAC